TCCTCTTCCTCTCTGGCTGTGGTAAGTTTCCAGCTGAAGGAGGAAACCAACTTGGCTTCCTGGTATTGCTACCTCAGCCTCATGGACTATTCCTTGGGAATTAATGTAAAATTTGCCTCTGTTAGCCAGTAGGGGGCATCAGACACCTCTGCAAGCATCTGGAACGGACTCTCAATAGCTAAAAAAATGGAAGCCTAGAGCAGGGGTAGGCAACCTCGGCTTTTTTATGACTCATGGACTTCAACTCCCAGAATTCCTGAGTCAGCATAGCTGACTCAGGAATTCTGGCAGTTGAAGTCCATGAGTCATAAAAGAGCTGAGGTTGCCTACCCCTGGCCTAGACCTTCCTATCGGAAATTATGTAGTGACTCTGGCTGAAAGCGGGAACAAATTTAAGGGGAGGAAAGGCATCAGTAGATAACAGTATGTGAAGAGGAAACCAACTGTTATATTGAAATACGGCCATCGAAGTCTCCCTCGTGTCATTCCTCTTCATTGAATGAATTTGTTCCTTGTGCTCTTTCTAGGTCGGATCTTTGAAGGCACACCAGAAACAATGTTGGCTTCATTAGACATAGCAGCTGACTTGGCTGAAGATACCCTACTTTGGCCAGGTAGACCATACATCACCTTTTTGTTTTGTGTTTCAACTCCCTTTTTTCCCCCAGTTTCCGAACTTAGAATAAGAAGCCACATCCTCGCCCCCTTGGAGTGCCTCCCTCCCTGAGCCTCACTGTACTACCTTTTGGAATCATCCCTGAGTCTTACCAGGCTTCCCTTCTACCCTTCCCAAGCCTTCCCTCACACCCTCATGCACCGTATCCTACCTGGCTGTATCTACCCACCGGTTTGCTTGCAAGTCGCCTGGGACTTGCAACTTCCTGCCAGCTTCTCCACTGACTTGGTCCTGGGAAACTGACAGGAAGTTGCCTCACCTAATAATTGTGGGATTCTGCTAATAACAGCAACTGGGACTGCAAGGACTGCCATTGCCAAGCAGTGTGGTCACGCTTTATAACCACATCCCGTCGTAATGGAAAATTCCCAGCCCAATTCCTATCGTAAGTTGAGAACTACCTGTATGGAAGGAAAGTCCACCTGGATGAACTTCATCACTGATCCAGAGATGGTTCTAAAATCATATTGGACCACTTAAAAACTGCTTTGATGTTGTCCAGAGAATTCTGCTAGCACAGTCTACATCAGGGGTGTCAAACTGCCGGCCTGCGGGCTGGTTGCATCACACGGAGGCCCCACCCAGCCCAGCTCCGGCAATGCAAAAAAAGGCACGACATGTCAAATGACGCGGCGAGTTTGAGACCCGTGGTCTACATGATTCTCAAAGAAAAACAGTTGTTTGGGAATCAGAAATTAAGCAGCTTGAAATACAGAATAGCAGAGATGTTGAGAGACCCTGGATGACTACACCGTGTTGACTGTTCATCCTCTTTCCTTAGGGCACGAGTATGCATTCGAATGCCTAATGTTTGCAAGCCTCCATGAGGCAGAAAACCCCATTCTAAAACAGAAGCTCCAGTGGGTGAGCCAACAGCGGCTTGAAAAGAGAAGCACAGTAAGGAATGGTTCTGTTTGTATGCATGGGATGTTTCTTTCATGTTAGGGGATCCATCCATCGCCCCAGATAAAACCTGGAGTGGAGGGAGATGAGAAGTCATTAGGGTTTGTAACTTCTTTAAGAATGAAATATTTCAGCAGTTGTGTATGTTTTCCCTCTCCCCCTTTAGTTGCTATGTAGCACTCAGGTAATCCTCATTTAAAGAACACAATTGGGACCAGCAACTCAGATCCTTAAACTATATATCATTCCCACTTGGTTGTTAAGCAAGTGACAGTCGTTAAGCGAGACATCACATGACCACGACTTGCTATTTCACTGATGGCTACTCCATTGACCCTACTTATCAAAAACTGTTTGTGAAGTGTGCAAATGGCAATCATGGAATGCTGCATTGGTCACACTGGTTGCAAAGTGTCCCAATTCTTTGATCATGTAACCGTGGGGACACACTGCAGTAGTCCTAAGTGTGAGAATTAATGATAGTTACTTTTCAGTGGCATTGTAACTTTGTATGATCACTAAACAGAGCAGTCCTTAAGCGAGGACACTTTCCCCAGATTAGCATTTAACAAATTAGAGGCAATGCAGTCATCAGGTCAAAGCAGCTTGAGCAGTGCTGTTTTGTGGCTATATTAGCAGAACATTGCATGTCTGGTTATGCCGTACCCAAGGAGCAGGCAATTAATTTTCCCAAAGGGCCACATGAGAAACTGGGACTTTTGTGAGTCCGCTGCCCTCCCATCCCACCTCCCCACCTTCGATGTTGCTGCCACCCCAACACTGCCAATGCTGATGTCTTGCTGCTGACCACCACAGGCTGGACAGGGA